TGTGATACAGCTATGGTCGCTGCATATTTCCCAGACAAGGCGTCGTAAGTCACCTTTGCTACTCGTGTGGGGCATGTCAAGTCCAAAATATCCTGTTGCCAGTATCAGCGTCATATGACTGGCATGTGTCTTTATCCACAAGACAGTGGCCTGAGCTGCGTAAAGGAGTGTTCATGGCGTTTCGCCTCTGAAGGGCTTTGTCAGCTTTGTCCAATGTGCAATATGATCCAATTCTTATAGCACTTGGATGATGGCTACTGCTCATTGGAAAGTCCATTTATATGTTTTTTTTTTTTGTTCTTTGCATTACGATAATCACTTACCGGTCTATCCAACGATGTGCCGACCAGCGATGTTGCAGTTTTGAAGCACTAGCTCTATCACTAGCGTATGGTGCTGGTGTTGTGTGCGCCGCTGCAGTCTCCGAGCCTGTAGTGCCTGTCGTCCACGTGGTGCTGTAATCTGTGGCGTGCAAATGTACCTCGACGTCTTCTTCCATAGAAATGAATTGTTTGGTTCGGTGCTTGTTGCAGCTATCTTATGTTTGTTGCTATATACCACGTGTTTCTCCAAATGTTTCAAAATGTTAAGTCATAATGCGCAATGCACATACAAACAGTGCATTTTCGGGACATTCGGACGTCATTTCATTCAGAGTTGTTCAGCATTTGCTTTTGTGCGATAACACCACTTTAACAAAGAACAATCATATGTGGCTCCTTTCTCTTAATGACTATCTAGACACGAAGTTATTAATCATTTATCGATCGCTTATGGTCTTCGGCGTCCAGACTGGCGGTGAAGTCCGGGATTGGTTTCAACTTCCGAGGCATTGCGACTCGGCCTTTTCTGGCGTCTGCAGAAGCAGTCTTCCAAAAAGATTAGTCTGATCTGGTGATGACAGGTGATGTTACGTGCCGGCCGGTGTCGGGTCTTTATTCATTCTAATCATTCAGCCTGAGTGCTTGGAAAGTCATTCCTAGCGGAATAGGGATGACCGATTGCATTTTGGAGGGTATGTTACTCTTTATTAGGCTTTGTCGTCAGGTAACATAGAGCCAGGGCTGCGGAGTCGATGGATTTACGGCGACTCCGACTCCGACTCCGACTCCGGCTTTCAAAAACCAACTCCGACTCCGACTCCGACTCCGGGCAGAAATGTCGACTCCGGTCGACTCCAACTCCCAACTCCGACTCCGCACACCTGGCAGGGCTGCGGAGTCGACAGATTTTCGGTGACTCCGACTCCGGCTGAGGTTTCCAATATCGACTCCGACTCCGACTCCGACTCCGCAGCCCTGCATAGAGCCAGTGCACCCCTTTATCCTTTGCTGTCAGTCCTTTCCCCTGTCCTTCGTGCTCTCCTTCTCCTTTGCTGTCAGCAGGTAGGTATTGTCACGGATTCGTTTATGCGTGACATTGGCGAGCATAGATAAATGCCGAATCCTCTGAAGTGTCGTACTCGTCTCGGTTGTCATTTTCCTCTTCAATAACATTGAACCGAAAAGGAAACGAAGCTTTCTTTGCTCCTTGCTAATATTTTTTTCTTTTTTGTGTGTAACAAATATTAAGCTTCAAAGTTTTTTACGCTGCTGTAGATGAATATCCATGTAGTTTGTAGTAGATATCCGAAACATTTTATGATCCGAAACATTTTATGCCCGGTCTCCGGTTGCGTCCTCTAGGCTAAAATAGTGCTGCATACCTCCGGCGATAGGTGTCGCGACGATCGGGATGATCCGGTTATGCCCTCGGTGCCAGTAGGGCTCACGGATCGGCAGATCAGGAATGAGAGGATAGGCTGCATTTTGCATTTTGTTGCATAGATAACACGAGCTACTCGGTGTTGATGCGAAAAATAGAAAGATATAGCTGTACCTAGTACTTACCTCTATATTGACTCGGCCGATCATATTCAAGTTTTGTGTGCGCCAAGAAGCTTGTACGACACAAACTGCTGGGATTCGGTAAGGGTGGGTGTGCAGTTGCACTGTGCATCCGCATGTGCGCACTCTTCCGCTACGTCAGGAACGAATTCAAAGGTAAAAGGCGCGTAGCCAAAGACATCCATTTTATGCTCACCGTATTAAATGTTATTAGGCCACAAATAAAACGCACGATGAGCGGCACAAGCGCCTATTTGACCGATGAGGCTAGTCATAGAAACTCACTGGATAGGAACATTGCACATTGCACTGTCCACTCAGACACCTGTGGAATTCGTGAAATAAGTTACAACCCCCTTATCAACTCTCAGCTTGGTCCATCTTGCAATAATCGCACATTTATGAATTAAGATGTCGCATAAACGAAATCTAACTGTAATTCATGTAAGGAAGTGCTAATCATGGTTTAAGCCCAGCATTTCAATTCCGTTGACAAATAAAAATGGTTGTTATGTAGAGCAATTCATTACATTTTTTATCTTTGAGTATGTTATCTCTTAGAATTACACAAAACAAGCCCACATTCTTCATTCACGCCTCCTTTTGGACAACGCTTTGCACTACAGCGGAAAAGCACTGACATTTGACAATTATGGCCAAATGACGCAACATCGAGGACACTTACGCTGTCTAATTTAAACATGTTTGGCTGAAAGATTTGTGGTAACTAAGAAATGAAGCTCTCACAAACATCTCTATCATACTTTATATACCTGCTTTAACCCTAGAACGCCTAGGGGGGGTTGTATCAACCCCCCCCCTGAGGTTTTTTCGAAGTGCACGCTAAACGGCTTGTCGTAGCGGGCTGAAATTTTCAATACCCTATGGGGCAACCTTTGCGCATCTTTTGCCGAAAAAAAATTGATCGGGTCATGTCAGGTCACGGAGTTATGACGTCATAAGAGGTACAGCCTCCGGCCGGATTTTCACAAACTGAGTGCCAACGCCCGAGGTTTCCTGCCGGTGGTACGGACATCGGTTGATGGATCGTGATGAAACTTCCCATGCATGTTGGGGCAAGTATTGGCTATCATATGGTATAAGAAATTTGACCGGGTCAGGTCAGGTCACGGAGCTATGACGTCACAAGAGGAACAGCGTCCGGTACTATTTTTGAAAAGCGCCCGAACCACTATTTTGCTAATTCTTGTCACCTCAATGGGAATATGCAGCAATATTAGCTTCTATAGGGAGCAAATGGACCTCCCAAATCCAAAAATACAATCAGATTTCAAAAATTTAAATTTTGATTTTTCGAATTTCTGCCGCCGACTGTGACCTTGCCGACTTCCGGCGCTCCCAACGCGCCATTTTTAGAGCTAGGGAAACGAAATACATACCAAACGATAGAGAATTGATCAAGGAACACGATAGTGAAGGTTTCAAGTCGATATCTCCCACCGTTTTGCCGCAATCGCCGCCGAAAGTTGAAAAAAGTCTATTTTTCCGAAAATTTGACCTTTGACCGGTCAAAAGTAGGTCAAATGTTGACCTAGGACCAAAAAATATACCACCAATCGCGAGATCTCGTTGAGAGCAATCCGTTGGTTTTTTCCGCTAAGCTCTACGACCTTCCGTTTCGAAACGCCAGGGGGGGTCGTAACAACCCCCCCCCCCTGGTCGTTCGTGTTATGAGAAATGGCCTGGTCGTGCGAGGGTTAAGCAAAGGGACCAAAGGGACAGGGATAAAAAAAAAACTTTGTAAAAATTTAAAGATTTGCTTGCTATATTCGCGAAATAAACGTCTACCGCAAATGTGTTTACTTACATATTGCGTTCGGATATAAAGTTTCACATACATAGGGGAGAGCATGGGGCAAGATGCCCCCTCGGATTACATGCCCAGTACCCTCTAGCGCTAAAAGTAGAAACGTTTAGATGTTTTTCATACTATCTATGTAAAGTAGAAGCAAAGATTGGTTACGTATAAAAAATTATGCGTCTTCAATAAAGTTTGCGACGTGGGTGGGCATACATGTCTTTTGCTAGTTTTGTACTTTTGCTTTGTCCCATGAAATGTAGCAATTATTCGTTCAGTCAACTGTGAACCGTTTTTTATGTGGCACGTGCAACTTTTCCCTTTAAAAGGATGCCACAATAAACTGCGTTACAACTGCAGATATTTTTAGGCATATCATTTATGCTGATGGACGGAAACGTGTAAGAAGCCCAGGTGGTTGCGGGAAAAGAGGCCCCTAAGTCAGGTCATAGGGTCGCAGTGAGAAAGTCTTCATCAAAAATATGAGGTATAGGTATACCTACAAATTGTGGAGACTTGGATGCTTGCTACATTCTTGAAGTTTTGTCTCTTTGCGAAAGATTCCTTCGCACTGAGAGCGTTTCGGCATTTTTTGAACCAAGCAGAGGCTCCCCTGCAACGTGACCGTCATGAGGAAGCGTCACAGATCAGTAACATGACCTGACCTGGAAAAGCTTTTAGTGTCAAAAGATCCTGATTGGATGAAAGGTCAGTTATGCTAATTATCATCTCTCTGTCGCTAACGTGTTCCAAGCAATCGTGAGCCGTTGTAGTTTTGTGCATGTTTCCCCACGGGGTGGACGTCTTACCCACCCACGGGGTAAGATGCCCGAAATGACTTGCTCGAGGAAAACGCATACATATTATTCCTAATAAACATATTCTGCGGGAGTTCGATGTAATTGATCAATTAGCAAAATGAATACACTTTAATAAAATCGCTTATTTAGCGACGAACCTCATTAAGTTTGTCAGCCCTGAGCCCCAGAGCCCTGCCACACTCTTCCCTACAGTATGTACAAGGTATATAAGGAGACATGTTTCCCGGTCCTTTTCACTGCTTTTCACGGCGAGAGACAGCGAGAAACAGTGCCTTTTAGCAGCGCCGGTTTGGCAGAGACCTCCAGTGCAGGCTGCTGGCCATTTCCAGCGCGCGTGGTCAGCTCTGCTCTGGCGAGCGGTATCGGTAATCGGTATGCTCTCCGGCGGCACTCGCCTGCTGTTGCAACGCACCTTGCATATGCATCGCTCAGTGACGAGCGATGACTACTGACTAACGGAGAAAAAAAAAAGGAGAGTGTGAACGCTTGTATTCTCAATTCAATGCGTGTTTTGGAATCAAATTATACCCTCCTCTGCTGCCAATGAATGAAATTGCGTTTCCTCGTAGCGGTATGAATAAAAATATATAAAAGAAGTGTTCACTAAAAGCCTTATATTCTCACCAGTCAACAGCTATTTACAACGTGGCACCCTGACCACATTCAGAGTACATTTATAGGTTGGCTGGCTCGGCGCTATTCAGCTCTGATCACGAGCCTCACAGGTTACAGCATTACCACAATGTTAGGTTAAAACTCCCTGCATAATACACAGTTCACATGGCGCGATTTAAACCAATCGCACACTGACAAAAATCAAAAGCGGGACAAGTCCAACCAACTGCGATAGCGTCAGTAGCATACACTCCATAGGCACGCTTACAGACGGGTGTTTTAACAGGTGCTTTATCGTGACATGCCTCGCAACAATCCAATGACAGCGTACGCACCCCCACACACTCATTATATCAATGCATAGACACACATCATCTCATATTCACATTGAAATAGTTACAATTTAATAGCATGCGTTTTATCTACCAGGTAAATGATGAGATGCGCGAGCTTACAAAGAGATAAATATAATATAACAGCGCTCGCGTGGTGCGGTCGCACGCCTCCCCAGCGCGCGCGCTGCGCGGAGTATCGGCCGTCAGCGACTGCCACCAGATCGAGATATCACGGCGCGGCGCCAGGGCCCTGCAGCGCGTCCGCTCCCTGCAAACGGCGCCAACTGCAAAACGGTTTAGCTTCGGCGAAGCACGGCCATTAAAGGCGGCCCGTACACAGACGCCCTGAGCGGATCGGCGCGGCGCAGGCCCACCGGGTCGGCGGGGCGGGTGGGATGTGACCGACAGGTCACGACGAGCGCCGGGTCAGAGACTGGTCCCGTGCAGGGCGGTCCCGAAAGACATGGTCCCGCGCTGCTCCCGACAGCGCTCGGCGCTCGGTCCCAGCTCAGCCGGCCAAGCAGTTTGCCGTGCAGAGCTCAGCAGGGCTCCGGGAGCGGTGCGCAGTGGTCACCCTCCGAGCCCCAGGGTCGTACGCTCGGACCTGCGGCCTCTGACGCAGAACGGTAACCCAGTTCCGCGGGCAGCCACCCTTCCCTTCTGGGCCTTGTCAGCAGGCGCGCCCGCCGGCCTCATAAGGAACCAATGGTCACTGCACTTCGCCGGGAGTCGCTGAACGGGCCGCGCGCCGCCCTCGGTGGCTTACTCACGACTACTCACTGACGCTCACAGCCGGCCTACTGGGCTGAGTCGTGAGCCGTGAGCTCGCAGACTCAGCTCACCACGGGTTAGGGTGGCCGGTGCGTGCAGTCCACCGATTCAGGCGGCGCCGTATCACTGCCGAGAGGTCCCTCCGGCGACACGCCGGTGCTGCTGTCCCCGCGGCGCTCTCAGGGTCACTGCTGATACAGCGGCTGCGGGTGCACGACTCGGCCCATCAGAAGCACCATGGCAGAGTGGTAGTCCCACACCAGAAACACGAACGGGTGGTCCACCTCGAAATACTTGTCCGTGATCCGCGAGTCGGTCGGCGGCGCCATCCGGTCGCCCATCCAGTCTGAAGCCTCTACCGACTCGTCCAGCACCAGACTGGTCCTGAAAAGGAGTCACAAACACACCGGTTACGGACTACTTCGGTCGAGACACGGCGGAACACATCGTCAGACGGCGCCGTGATGTAACAATTCAGCCGTAACGGGCGGGTAGGAGGGTCCGTCTGAATGGGCGTAGCTTGAGAAAGGTCACTGACATCGAGCCTCCCTGAACCAATGGCGGGAGAGGCGGGTCAGATCTGTCCATCGGCACCTTTGACCTCAGCCACTAGCTCATTGATTTCCATACGGGCGCCGCCCACCACCGACTTTATCGCCGCGGTCTGTCAGAATTGTGTGGATACTTTTAATTGTGAAATTAATATCGGGGAGCCGGTCGGCGCCGGCCCGCTGCGGAGAGTTCCCACGTCCTGCCTCCGCCGGGACCGGCCGTTGGGAGGCCGCCAGACGCCTGTGTCCGGCTGGCTCCGAGCCTGACACCGGGCTTAATCGGGCACCGCTTTAACGACGCGTGTGGCTGGCACCGTGCGCGCGCGGCGGGGTCACCCAGGTCAGACGGCGTCCCGGCGGCAGGATCACCCTGATCAAACAGGGTCCCGGCAGCGGGGTCAGACAGATCAAACAGTGCCCGATGGCGGGATCACCCTGATCAAACAGGGTCCCGGCAGCGGGGTCAGACAGGTCAGACACTGTTCCGATGGTGGGGTCAGAGGGGCTAGACAGTCCCGGTGGTGGGGGTCAGAGGGACCAACAGTGTCTCGGTGGTGGGGTCACCCAGGTCAGACAGTGCCCCGATGGCGGGGTCACCCAGGTCAAACGGCGTCCCGGCGGTCTGTGTGTTAACCCTCGCATGTGTAGGGGGGGTCAGATGGACCCCCCCCATGGTTTTTCGTGAATAACTCGCTTAAAAAGCGGCCGATCGCGACGAAACTTTCAGTACCCTCGCATTGATCAATTTTACACCTACCCTGTAAATTTCATGACCCTGACCCAAATGATCTTTGACCTGTGACCTCTTTTCCGAGACCATGTTTGGCCGGAATCGCGATTTCGCGTATGTCGGCTCGCACTAGCCGCGTGTTTGCAAGCTTTTCGTAGTTTCAAACGTTCCAACATGTGATTTGATGTTACTCCCGTGTGTGTCAAGGTCACCTGAAGGTCAGGTCAGGTCATTGACCTTTGGTGACCTCGGGTGACCTCGGGTCACTTTTTCGAGTTTTACATGTTTCTAGGCTAGTTTTTGGAGCTGAATTCGAATTTAGCAACCATTTGAACATTTACGAAGTAGTTTTGGTGACTTCGTAACATGTTACGAAGCTGTCAGAGGCGGTTGACACGTACTACGAATACCCGTCACAACCCCTACCGGTTGACCTGACCTGACCTGACCCGACCTGGTCTAAATGCTTCAAGACATCATCTGTGATCAAAACTAACACGATATTCGTGATCAGCACCCCGGAAAACCACATAGCAGCCACACTTTACGACTTTCTAACAGGTCCCGATTTTCCCGACTTTGGGTCATTGACCTGACCTGGAAGGTCAACCAATGACCTAGGACCTTAAAATTGGGTATCATCGGCTTCCTCTCGTCACGGGCAACACGCTCGTTTTTTCCGCGAAGCTCTAGCTCGATCAGGGGCCAAACAGCAAGGGGGGGTCCAACCGACCCCCCCCCCCCTACACATTAGAAGCTGGCAAACGCCGCACACATGCGAGGGTTAACAGCGCAGGCGCGTTTGATACGGCGACGGACCAGTTCATTCATACAGGCCAGAGTCGGACAAAGGGTCAGACCAGTTCACACCGGTCAGACGGAGGTTAGACCAGCGTAGATACGGCCCCAGACCAGTCCAGACAGAGGTCAGACCGGTCAGAGGTCAGGCAGAGGTCAGACCAGGTCAGAACGGACACACGGACACCAGTCACTCCCGAACCCACCCTATGGTTGTCGGTGATTACCCGAAACATTGACCAGGTCAGAGACCGCAGGCCTACAGACGACTGCTGCTGGATGTGAACGGGGTACTCAGCAACAAGGGTTCTCACTTCTCTCGACTGCTCGGTAGTTGCACCCATGAGCCAGCTTTGCAAGTCATCGCTCTCGTACTTCCTAATAAGTAGTTTGCCGATAATGGTCAGGTAAAATAACAGCTTTCCAATGCGACCGTTTAGGTCAGAACATACACGTAGTTTCCATTACCGTAAGCAATTTGAGGGGTTCTCCAATTACCCGCCATTGGCTGTTGGAAAACCATCCCTGGTCCCAACAGCGGACGTCACCGAAATAAAGGACACGCAACGGTTTAAAACAAACATAATCTTGACTTGCAATAGTACATAGAGGCTAGATCACTATTGCATTGTTTAGGTACTTCCGGGTACGAATTTTGTTCTTAAAAACATCGGAATTCCAACGGTCCCATGATACAGTTGCGATACTTTTCTGCATAAATTCCAGCCAGTTCCTTGAGATCATGATTGACACATTCGTGACCAGCATGAGTAGATGACTATTCGATTCGGGATAAGCTCATATGCAACGCGACGTTTTAATAACCTTACATCGCATTACGACGTCTCAGGCACGATTTTTCAGCGTTTGGACATAAATATGGTGGTAGTATGTGAGGAGGAGGATTGGATCACGGCAAATGCAACATCCGACGGTGTCCAACGCTGTAATAAGGTATTTCACGAGCCGGAAAGAGAGGGAGAGAGAGAGAGAGAGAGAGAGAGAGAGAGAGAGAGAGAGAGAGAGAGAGAGAGAGAGAGAGAGGGGAGGGACGTGGAGAGGGAGGGAGGGAGAGGCAGAAATAGAGAAATAGAAGGGCAAAGAAAAAGAAAGACACGGGTAAAGACAGACGACAGAGAAAGACGGAAAGACGGACAGATAAAATTAAAAAGAAAGACAGGTGGAAAACCAACAACAGTCAAAGTAGAGACACGGGCGCGACTTTTAAAACCAACATGCTCATTCTTTCAAGATCCCACAGTTTCCCGTCATGTTCAGGCCCAGCCTCTGGTCCGCAGTCAGCACTCACGAGTAGAAGAGGTTTCCGGGATGGACGCGCCCCTGCGGGTCGATACCGGTCAGGTCAGCAGAGCGCGGGTCGAACACGTCCGTCAAACCCTGCGACATGAGCACGGTGCGCAGGTCGCCAGAGTCCTCCAGACGAAACCTGGGCAGCTTCACGTTCACCACGGCTTCCTGCAACGGCACGGACATACAGTCACGGTGAGGTCACGGTATATTCACGGTACGGTCACGTTACATTCACAGTACGTTCACAGTACGGTTACAAAACAGTTACGGTACGGTCGCAGTAGGGCCTCGGTATGTACAGTCACGATAAACCATGGTACAGTCATGGTACAATCAAGCCACGTTCACAACATGCATCGTGCCCTACGATGTATCTCACGATATATCGTTTCGCGCGTAAATGTGTGTAAAACCTGAACGAGTTAACTAAAACGGCGCGGGCTGGAAAAATACGCTATATTGGACAATGGAGGCTGGACATTGGACATCCCATGCACGATTTCATAACATCGGTGACACATCAGGACGATTGAGCCGCTTTTATTCCCAGGCTGATGGAGTTTGCCTTCAGATTCAATATCTAAATTTTGAATGAAATTATTGGTGTACAATGGATCGAAATACATGTGTTCTGGCCCCATTTGGGGTGTAAGAGCATGCTGAGATATTACATATGAGTGACATTTGAAACAGGGAATGACACTGCTATCTCAGAGGCGGGGCTAGAGCTAAGTGTCGGGTATGAAAGTGGTTAGGAGTAGCAGCTGTGTTCGTGACAGGTAGGGCAAGAGAGGCTGAGGATATGGTAGATTTTATGCCCATGTCGCTTAAGATAATCGAGATAAGGATGAGGGATAGTGTAAGGATAGCAATATTTAGCTGGAAGACTAATCAGAGCAAGCAATGTAATAAAACCTATTGACAGTTGTGTGGCACTGTGCTGTGGGTTTATGTAGAAAGTTAATGTCTAACCTAATGCCTATGCATCATTTCGATGTTACATCCTCTCCATCGCTTTATTTTTCTATATATCTATTTCTTGCAAATTAGGGCTTTTCGCTTAGGAGCTCTTGTGACGATGCTGTTTTATGAAAGGCTCTTATCTAGCTGCTGTTCCTTCACTGTTGTGTTTTTCGCCTTATTTAGTTTATTCGGTGCGGTATCAAACCGTCCCAAATCGAATTGTTGGCTGTTGCCACAGTTATTAGAATGGAAAGCATCCTCTATCTAGTGTAGAAGTACCAACTTGTGTAAGTGAAATTGCGTTCCATTCAAAAACTCATTGTCCCACGAAATAATGTATGTTTATTGCATATATGAAACATTGCTGCATTTCGAACAGTTCTTCAGAATCCAGCTCTGCAAATCCTTTCTTATTTACCCCACGCAATTATCATGTTTGAAGTCCCCACAGGACAAAGGTAACTGTTCTACAGCATTTCCACTCCGGTCTGATCGAATTTCTACCGAGCCCAGAAAAACCATTCTGGGTATCCCTACAACAAAAACCCGACTGCTCCAAACCTCAACAGAGCAGCTGTTCGCGCTATCCGGGTTCACAAATCAAGCAGCATGCTTTGCTACTCATCGGTGAAGCAAAAATGCATCAAAAGCTAACCACACGTTCGAAATTTGGTTGGAGAGTCCGCTTCTCAGTAGGTTCGTCGCCCGGTTCCTTGCAGGGCGTTGCGGCGGCTCGGTTGGACCGTTTCTCAGGCAATGGAGCGGCCCAGCTCGGCCCGACCGCGTCCCCCTGCCATGTACGGTAAACGTCTGCATGTGAGCGCAGGACCTTTCGCCGCGGAGGCTTCTCGGAAGATATCGAACGAGCGAAGGACGTTTGGATATCAACGCGACTCGATAATCTTTGTAGCACGTGGAACAACTCAACTCGACATGTATTCCGCTATAAGACAGACATCGCCCTGTCTTACAGACCAAGCATAGCTTAAAGCAGCATTTTATGCATCTAATTGTCTTTCCCAAGTAATTAGTAAATTCAGCGGTATTGTAAGACAGGCCTGGACAACAATTTCTGCATTTATCCAAGGACCAATAACACGACTTCGCCGCGTGACGCCTTCACCTTGAGATCAGCGAGTCAGCAACTGCATGAACTCTGCATCCAAACCTCTAATAGCCAATTCAAGGCATTGTCGATGTTCGCGTGTCAATTTTCCAATACTGTCGATTGGACTACACCACCTTGGTATGGGAGGAATTCCTTGTCACGGCATTTTTCCAATAGTTTTGTCCAAAACCAGGTAACGGGGTATTACCGCAGCGATAGACAGTTTGTTTGGCTGTTTGTCTCTCTGACTGTCTGTCTGGCTGTTGGGTTACCTGAATGTCCGTTCAGCATCGCCCGTCTGTGTCTGTGTTCTTTCCGTCAGCGTGGCCGGTGCCTTTATCTTAGGAGTGGCTAACAGAATTAGAGGCACGGGGTCAGCATGGCCCGCATTCCTACCTTAGTGAAGTCAGCACACCTTGCGTTTCCAGCATAAATAGTTTTCGTACCTTTAGTTTAGCGTAGTTTAGCGTAGCCATCGTAGCGCCCGCGTCCATACCTTTAGCGTGGCCAGCAGTGTCCGCAGGTTGTCCATGGTGAGGTTGGCCTCGAGCAGCGCCAGGCCACGCTCCATGTCGTCCGGTAGCAGCAGGAAGATGGAGATACGCCGGCTGACCAGCGGTAGCTCCAGCACGCGCGCCTCCATGTCGGCGCTGTATCCGAGCGGCACGCGCAGTCGACCGGTCATCATAGGTACTTCTAGCCTGAGGGCAGACGGGGGACGCGATCAGTCACACTTCAGCTAAGAGATTCCTCCCAACACATCTTAGGGCGCTGACGACGGACGCCGACCATGCATGCCGTCTGCACTTTGGAGATGAGGAGGAGTCAAAATTGGGGTGACGCCACAGGATTAATGAGCTCCAGGTAAACAGGCGCTGATGATCTGGGTGATTAGGGATCATGATATCGAGGTCGTAAGCTGTCAGTATCGTCCTTGGTAATGAGATGATACATAACATAGTGCCGCGAGATCTGTTGTGCCCTCTATCCATACCACATCTCAGCCTCGAGTCTGCACCGCAACCGAATAGACATCAAGGCATCGTTTAGGAGTCGCTTATGTATGGTGTAGTAGAAAATCTACAATTAGCTAAGATGGCTTAATACCACAATATTATGTAATTAGTTAAAATCAGCCATCACCTTACACTTATTTTTGTCGGTTTACTTCAGAAAAGATCGGTTTAAAGCACGGCATGTCAGGAATTGAAATGGAATTTCGAGAAAATACTTATCAGCAAGGATGATATTAAGACGGAGATCCAATCACTCTCAAGGCAAAAGTACACAAAATGCTATTCTCAAGATAAGCTTAAGCAACACTATGAGAGATTTAGGCCATTCAAAACAGAGTAGATGTAATCGCCAACGTGCAGATTGGATTAAACATTGTGTTTCACATTTCACTTCACAGATATTTCATTCTTGGTATAGTTTTGTCCTAGCTAGCCATCACTGAGGGCATCTGATGCTGGCTTGATGACGGCCTTCCTGATGTGGTCAGGGCAGAAACGACGGTCTGAATTATGTCGTCAGCCCATGTACGAATGAAAATGTTTACTCTTTGAACCCTCTCCAAATAAGCCCTCTCCAATGCTGCAGAAAGATGCGCATGGGAAAGACATGCCGGCATAAACTCAGATCAAATGACGTCCACTGGCAGCCTGCCCATGAGCGTCACGCAGGTAACTGTGAATCTGTGCATCGTACTGATCCGCAGGAACACAACCTAAAGTTAACTTTATTAGTAGGAGAAACACTAGAATTATTGTCCAGTAAGCGTGACTTGATTGCTCAATTACACCCATGTGGTACCATAGTGAACGTGCCAAAATTTGGATGTTGCATCATCGCACTGCAATAATGTGTAATTAGGTATATCGACCTTCGCTCAGTTATCCTGAACATTTTTTAATCGAAGATGTGAAGAAAGACATTAGACAACCACTGACCTCATGCGACATCTGACCGTCATAATTTGCGTCGTAAAGTTCATGGAGTGAAGCTATAGCATAAGGCCATAATCTCACTATAAATGGTCAAATAAAACTGGCAACGGTCTTCAAAAAATAAGTTACGTTAGACAAGCAGCGTGCCTGAAATAATCCATTTTTAAATTTGCGCGTTAACATAGTAGATCATGAAAAATACATGCCGCGGTATAACAGTACTTTGACCAGCACACGTACCGCGGGCAAGAGGCCCTGCTACGAACGTATCGGCTTAGAACACGCAACAATTTCTGGGATACGGTTTTATTAAAATTGTTTTAATCAGCAGGGGCTGCTGTCGGCACCATTTTCCATAGAAATATTGGAGAATTTCACTAGGCGTTTCAAAGCTAATGGTTATCAGAAAGATATACAAAAGCGTGCCCTTTCCCACTGAAGGCCTTAAACAAAGAATCATGTCCCCGTCACGAATACCATGTCCCCGGGGGATGCCAGGTCCCCGGCAAGGGATCTCAGGCCCCAGAGGGATGTCAAGTCCCCAGAGGGATATCAGGTCCCCAGAGAGATGCCAGGTCCCGTGGGATGTCAGGATTTCAGGTCCCCTGGCCCTGAATAATGTCCGCGAGACAGGGCAGGTCCCTGCCGTCATTTACAGCCCGTTGCGCCCTGTTTATCGCGACTGAGAAACCTGACGGAGGCCCTGTGGTGCGGGGCACAGTGGCACGTGCCTCTGCTGCTGCTGGCTGGCCCGACAAATCAGATTAGCTGCGCGTCACTCGAGCGGAGCCAACGCGATAGCCGGCCGAGCCCGGCTTCGTGCTTTTCGCCCGAGCCTACCACGCCGACCACATCAGCTCAGTGTGCGGGAAGCGCACGGTGCGCAAAATTTGGTGAAAATCTGCCAAGTGGACAGCGATGCAAAATCAGGAACCAGCGTACACAATGGGGTGTGACCACAAACGGGACCGTGTACATCTGCCACCGGCATGAGTTATTCATGATAATTTGACACTCGCCACGAGCTTGGTGCTAACTGATGCAAACAAGACATTTGCATTTCAAGAATGATCTTCAAACATGCTAGAGCGAACCACTGCTGCCGTGCGGTCAATATTGTCCGGCCTTCCTGCATTAGTGAGTTGTTGTCTCCGTTAGGTGATTTACACAATGACCTTGAGGGGCTCACGGATCTGGAATATAAATCTGATGAGCCCACCGCACTGGCGGTGGTCAACAGGTGTTTGTCGGCCAGCCTTGTCATGTTCGCTCGGCGTCACTCGCCTTCAGTCGCTCCTACCAGATTGGCTGTCCGCATCTGCAAAACGCTACGCTCCGCGCTCAGGAAGCGACATAAGAGCATTGCGCCGACGCCGCTAAGCGGAGGAGCAAGACGTGCTGCCGGTTTACCGACTGTGCGGGATCAGACGCGCGTCACAGCCGCGTCTTTGGTGCGCCAGATTTGAGCGCACGCGCCCAGCCCGCACCAAAGACCCCCGGCCAGGACGGCGCGCGGATCTCATTACCAGACCTGGCGGCGCTGCTGGTGGTTTTCAGTGCTCACGTCACCGGTGGGTCTGATCCGGCGGCAGCGCGTCTGGCCACCCAGTATCCGGCTCACACCGTCCCCAGTGCAGATCCGGTGTGTGTCTGCTCGAGCGGCGGCTGCGCGCTCTAACTCTTCAACAACAACATGCTCGAACGGTGGGGTACTACGGGCCTCCGACATACCCCGCCGGGTCCTGGCATACCGAAATACATCGCTGGACTCCGACATACCGACATACCCCGCGGGTCCCCGGTATATAACCGACATACCCCGCGGGTTTCCGGTATATAACCGACATACCCCGCGGGTTTCCGGTATATAACCGACATACCCGCACCGTCTGCGGAGCTCCATTCACCAGGCCGCCTATTTTTCGCATAATAAATTACCATTTTTAATCCTTCAACGGTAACAAAACAGCTATTTTATTAGATATAAGTTAACAGATATGTAGTCACGAAAAAACGAATTGCAAGCGTGGCATAGCAAAACGCATCCGGTTTCAGGGAATCAGGTCAATTCCTGACCTCACAACGCGACGAATTATGTAACCAGGTACTTGGGAATGGTTTATGACAATATTGACCTTTGTTAAATGACCTTGGATGCCCTTGTCATATGTTGGGTTAAATATAATGTGGTCGTAGGCACTGATCACGATTCGGCGTCCATTATTTTCAAATGAACGGAATCGGTAAAGTAACCTCTATATAACCTCTGGCACGCATAACCTTGCCTGACCTTGACCTCTTGACCTCTTATATTATTCCCAGGATATCAAGAAACGCCAATTATTACGCTTGCAATGCGGAAACACACACTAGAAAGCAAAAACAAAAAACGCCTCAAGTCCCCTCCCCCGTTTAAAAAACTCCTATTTCGTTTGGACATGACCTGGCATATCATTTAAAGCTCAGTGACCTGACATGGTAATTGGTAGATAACTAAAATTTTCAACTTATTTTTTCGAAGGCTGACTGCAAAGCTGTCAAATTGCAGTCAAATTTTCATCAAGTGTCCTGGCAAATTTTGACGCGACCGGTTCCCGCGTTCTAAGATTATTCCACACAAAAAGAAATCAGCGATTTCTCCAACCTGTACTGGGGAGAGCTCGACTATAATTCAACAAACATCAGCACCAATCGGAGATCGTGACCTATCCAGTCACGTGGGCTCTGACTTTGACACGAGATCCAGCGCTGCCTGTGTTCCCCGTTAATGGCGCACTGTATTCACTGGGTGGGTCGCGTGACTACCCGGCAGTGCATAGCTGCACGTGCGCTATCACTTTATCCTTATTAGGTGAGTCAAAGGAGGGAATTTCGGCAAACGGACGGCATCGAAAGACAGACGAACCTCGACGTTTATTGATGCAATCCAGCTCATAGGAATGACATTTGAATGAAACACGTGCGAGCAATGGCGCGATAAAGGGTCAACTGAAACAGTCGTGGAGAATGTTATGCAACGTTACATCAATCTCTAGTTATTGCCCGACGAAGGAATGTCTCTTGTTGTCCATGTTTAAGAGTGTATTAATGAATTTGTTATTGCACTCAAAAATGATTAGCGCCAAGTCTTCTGCCAATTGAAGTACAGAGACGATATCGATCAGGTGATCTTATCCTAAGAGTACGACTCGGAAACCCAAGCGGAAACCCACGTCGGGTGGCCCGAAATTGCCAACAGCCTGGCTGTCCACGAGAACACTGCCCGTGTCCACTATCCAGTGCTAGTTGAAACTCTGAGCGCCGTCATTAAAACGACGTGGAAGGAGTTGCTTACGGCCAAGATCAGGCGACGCATCCTGTTGTGGAGGCACCGACTAAGCTTGGCCCGCGCTAAGGGGGAGCGGTAGTGTCTCGATCTCGCGCGCATGCAGGATTTAAAAACACTAATGAGAAAACACTAATTGGGCTGCTTTTTCTCTAATGTGTTAAAAGAAAAAAGGACAAGATAATTGTATTAAACTTTGTAAAAACAATGTATGCAACGTTGCCTGCTTCTGACCACATTTTCAAACGCCTACGGATTTTATAGCACTTACGATGAAGCCTCAAAGCTGGAAACTTATTCGGGCTATCCGGTAGGCATTCATGAGGAAAAAAAGCTTGAAAGCTGCATCAACCCCTTTCCACTGTACCAACACAGGCTTATGATATGCCTACTTAAAAGCTACTTAGAATCCAGCTCTATTGTACAA